ACTATTGCTGCATCACCCTTTCCTCTTCAAGGAAAACCAACGCAAGCTCAAGATGTAGCAATCTCCATCTCCAAAGCAACGTCATGGTCTCCATCCTCACTGGCTCGACACCTTGATATCCATGGCAGCGTCGTTGTCGTCTTGCAAAATATTGCTTCTACAACTATCACTACCACTTAGTGATAAAGTAAAGCAATTAAATGGCGTTTGCATATCATACAATAAAGCGACAACCATAAGGCTCCTGCCAGTTGTCGATAACTTCTATAAAACATGATCATGTCATACAATAACGTATATCACATCATGTCTTAACCATATCACATCACAACATGCCTTGCAATAACAAGTTAGACGTCCTCAACTTTGTTGTTGCAACTTTTACGTGGCTGCTATGGGCTTCTAGCAAGAATCGTTCTTACCTACGGCACAAAACCACAACGGTGATTTATCAAGTTTGTTGTTTTAACCTTCAACAAGGACCGGCCGCAATCAAATCCGATTCAACTTAGTTGGAGAAACAGACACCCGTCAGCCACCTTTATGAAAAACTAGTTGCATGTCTGTCGGTGGAACCGGTCTCATGAACATGGTCATGTAAGGTTGGTCCGGCCTGCTTCATCCAACAATACCGCCAAATCAAAATAAGACAATCATGGTAAGCAGTATGACGATCACTGCACACAACTATTTGTGTTCTACTCGTGCATATCATCTATGCATAGACCTGGCTCAGATGCCACTGTTGGGAAACATGGCATGCAATTTCAAAAAATTTCCTACGCTCACGCAAGATATATCTAGGAGATGCATAGCAACGAGAGGGGAGTGTCTGTCTACGTACCCTTGTAGACCGAAAGCGGAAGCGTTTGCCAATGCGGTTGATGTAGTCGAACTTCTTCTCGTTCTGAACGATCAAGTACCGAACGTACGACACCTCCGAATTCTGCACACGTTCAGCTCGATGACGTCCCTCGAACTCTTGATCCAGCAGAGTGTCGAGGAACTAGAAGAGTTCCGTCAGCACGACGGCGTGGTGACTGTGATGGTGAAGTTATCCGCGCAGGGCTTCGCCTAAGCACTACCGTAATATGACCGGAGGCGTAAATTGTGAAGGGGGGCGCCGCACATGGCTAACAATCATTGGTGTGTGTTCTAAGCGCCCCCTCCCCATGTATATATAGGTGGGAGGGGGAGGGAGCTGCCTTGGGCGCCCCAAGTAGGAGGAATCCTACTTGGGGGTCCTATTTCAATTCGCCCCCCCCCCTTCCTTTTACCGGAAGGGGGAAAAAGGGAAGAGAGGGAGGAGGAAGGAAGGGGGGGGGGGGGCGAACCCCCTCCTCCTTCTCCTATTCGGCCTCCTTCCTTAGGGGAGGGGGACGCCACCCCTTGTGGGCTGGTGTGTTCCCCTCTTATGGACCATAAGGCCCATTACTCCCCCGGGGGGTTTCGGTCCCCCCCGATACTCTGATATGTACCCGACACACCCCGGAACACTTCCGGTGTCTGAATAATATCATCCAATATATCAATCTTTACCTCTCAACCATTTTGAGACTCCTTGTCATGCCGATGATCTCATGCGGGACTCCGAACAACATTTGGTCACCAAATCACATAACTCATATAATACAAAATCATCATCAAACGTTAAGTGTGCGGACCCTACGGGTTTGAGAACTATGTAGACATGACCAAGACACCTCTCCGGTCAATAACCAATAGCGGAACCTGGCTGCTCATATTGGCTCCCACATATTCTACGAAGATCTTTATTGGTCGAACCGTTTTGACAACATACGTTATTCCCTTTGTCATCGGTATGTTACTTACCCAAGATTCGTTCGTCGATATCTTCATACCTAGTTCAATTTCATTACCGGCAAGTCTCTTTACTCGTTCTGCAATGCATCATCCTGCAACTAACTCATTAGTCACTTTGCTTGCAAGGCTTGTAATGATGTGCATTACCGAGAGGGCCCAGAGATACCTCTCCGATACTCGGAGTGATAAATCCTAATCTCGATCTGTGCCAACATAGCAAACACCTTCGGAGATTCCTGTAGAGCATCTTTATAATCACCCAGTTACGTTGTGACGTTTGATAGCACACAAGGTATTCCTCCCGTATCCGGGAATTGCATAATCTCATAGTCAAAGGAATATGTATTTGACATGAAGAAAGCAATAGCAATAAAACTGAATGATCATAATGCTAAGCTAACGAATGGGTCTTGTCCATCACATAATTCTCTAATGATGTGATCCCGTTCATCAAATTACAACACATGTCTATGGTTAGGAAACTTAACCATCTTTGATTAACGAGCTAGTCTAGTAGAGGCTTACCAGGGACATAGTGTTTTGTCTACGTATCCACACATATATCAAGTTTCTAGTTAATACAATTCTAGCATGAATAATAAACATTTATCATGAAATAAGGAAATATAAAATGACAACTTTATTATTGCCTTTAGGGCATATTTCCTTCAGGTTCGTCGTGATCCACACTTGTCCCAACTGCTCAGTGGGGCTCTTGAAGCTCCGGGATGTCACCTTCGGCTCATACTCCTCCCGGTCGGCGTTGAGTGTTGGTCCCGACACCTCCAAGCCTGCGATTGTGATTACCCAAGTCAAAAGCGTGGGCAAATTTTCGCGTGAGGTAGGTGACTCTGGTCCGATCTAGCCACTCTATTTGTGGCTCTTGCAGATCTGCACCGGGCTCTACGCCGTTCCTTGACCAAGGCCGAGATGGATGTCTGCCGCCATCGCCTTAAAAAATATGAAAGCATTGCGGCTTGTAACCATGTTTGTTGCTTGCCTCTTATAACCATGTTTGTTGCCTTCTCTATTTGTGCTTAAGTCGTCTTATAACCATGTTTGTTGCTTTCATTGCTAGACTGAGATGGAAAACAAGGCCTCTCATCCTACAGAAGATGGTCAGGAATCGAACTCTGCGACCGAGGTTGTAGTTGAAGTGCTTGCTTAGCACACTAAGAAGCCAACATTTCTTCAGCATGTGGGGATCCAGCATGTCCATCTGAGAGCAAGCGATAGCAACTGTCAAGCAGAATTGGCAAATAGGGGCAATGTCGAGCTTCAGGCGCTTGTCAACACCTTGACCAAGCAGTTGAAGGAGTCCGAAGAAGCAAGGACCAGGCAAGACGAGAAGCACATGAAGAGAGATGAGGAGAACAGGAAGAAGCAAGCTGAGATGGATGCAAAACTAGAGTTTTTGTTAAGTCAATTGCAAGCAAGATGAGCTCAAGGGTAAGTTGTCTGTCCAAGATCAACCATCTTTTTCTACTTGATGCACGGAAGCTATGTGAATGTGATATACTACTGGAACCTACCTTCTTATTTTGTAATGCTTCTATTGTGCAAACTGCACACTGTTGGATGCAAACTGGTTGCATTTTGCTGCTCCATGTTTAGTGGATGTGGAGATGTAAGCTCAATGTTACTTGTGCTTTGTGATATTGTGCCTCTTTTCTGTATTTGTGTTGGATCTGAAGATGTAAGCTCAATGTTAGGCTTGGAAAACATTTTGCGTAAAAACAAAGAAGGGCCTTTTTTTTAGGTGAGAAGCGCCGGGTTGGGTAGAGTAAACACTAATGGGCCGAATGAAGTGGGCCTCGAAACACACTTTCCGGCTAAAGAAAAAACACAAGTGGAGCATAATTTTAATGGGCTGATGTGCATATTAAACAAGTAGAGATGGCCAACGGAGAGAGTAAATGATTATGGGCCAGCCCAAAATGAACGGGTTTCAATTTCAGGATGACAATGTTGTGCTTGAACAAGGAGGAGCAGCAACGTTTGCACAGTTCACCGAATTTTATCATTAAATGCGTTATTGGGAAACTCACATTCTTTTTTTTGAGAAACCTTTCGATCTATTCATCTTCAACCATGGCAATACAACGAACACCAGAAATAATAAAATATACATCAACTGCAAGATGATTTGGTTGAGCATATATGGACTCACGTTGGCAACCAATAGATGTATCGACTATTTTTTCTTTTAAATTTATTTTTTTAGCTTGTAAACTATGAGATATTTTTTGGTTGTGAAACTATGAGATATTTGAATTTGATTATATTATGTGAACTTTGAGCGATTTTTTTATGTATAGACAAAAGAGCAAAAAGTAGGCCGCCAGTCGAACGAAAATGCGTCCGTGTGTTGAGCACTGCCAACCCAAACATGAAAATGCGTCCGGTTTAGATCCATGCGTTGGAGTTGCTCCCAAAGAGCTCCTGCTACCCTATAAATTTTCTCTGTGCACAAGGAGCAATGATGTTAAGGCTGGTCACAATGGGCAAGAACATAAGCTAGTAACTTCACACTTCCCTAGACTATGTTACTACCTCCATAGTGGGTAGGAACATCTATGTAGTGTCATGCAACGATGTATTTATTAGGCTGGTCACAATGGGCAAGAACATAAGCTAGTAACTTCACACTTCCCTAGACTATGTTACTACCTCCATAGTGGGTAGGAACATCTATGTAGTGTCATGCAACATGTATTTATTAGGTTATAGACTCATTGTTTCTTGGAGTGTGTGATGTTCCGGTAACTTAGCTAGTTACCACAAACACCTCTCTCTTCATTAAATACGTGCCACATAAGCAAAGTTGTATTGGAGTGTGTGATGTTACTCCTAAGTTCCTCCCCACTGTGACCAGCCTAATGCATGGCGGTCTCCTTTGTCTTGGGAAGGAACCATGCCAGGCAGGCTTGACTTGACTTGACGAAGTTTTATTTTAAACGAAAGCATTTGTTTTTACTCTAGATACTACTCCTACTAGTAGCTGATGGGAGTGGGAGAGACGGGGCAGAGATCTAGATACTAGTAGTACTCCTTTTGAGTACTCCTACTAGTAGCTGGTAGGGTGGGAGAGACGGGGCAGAGATAAAGAGAGGAGGGGGAGGGAGAGACAGGAGAGGCAGCTTGATTCTGGTCGCGCCGCCCGCCGGGGAGAAGGGATGGGAGTGCAGCAGCAGCAGCAGGAAACGAATGGGAAGGAGGCGGAGGAGGGCGGCGTCGGCAAGAGGAGGAAGGTCGCCACCGACGTCACCATGGACCTCGACATCCTCGACTGCCCCGTCTGCTTCCTCCCCCTGCGCCCTCCCATCTTCCAGGTAATATCTCCCGTGTTTGATCTCTGCTGATGCTACTACTCAAACCCTACCAGCTCCTCGTGGACGCTGATTTCCCATGTCTTGGAAACCTATGGAGAATTAGAACGAAATCAGATGCACACATTAGGCCCAATGCCTCCCACACACAGATGTGCTAACCAATGTACGCTGCCTATCCTATTATGTTTGAGGAAAGTGATGCAATATTAGGGAATGTCTGCGTACATTATGCAGATTAGGCAGTCATAACGATTGTGTATCAGCGCTGTGGAGAAACCACAAATTAGGGAAAACTATTCCATTTTAGTCGTATCATGGTTATTCTACATGTACTTCCCAATTCATATGATGTTTATTCATTTTAGCTGTATTTTATTCAGCTAAAGTTATTAGCACATTTACAGACCCATATGTAATGATTTGTTGTTTTTGATGCTCAGTGCACCTTGGGACATGCCATATGTTCGTCTTGCCGTGACAAGCTGCAAGACAAGTGTTGCCTCTGCTCCCTTCCCACAGTCTACAATCGCTGTCACATGGTCGAAAATGTTGTTGAATCTATCAAACTTGCTTGCTCCAACAGTAGTCACGGATGCACAGCAAGGATAACCTACTACCAGAAAGAAGACCACGAGAAAGGCTGTCAACATGCGCCATGTTTCTGCCCCGAAACTGGCTGCAGCTTCAGTGGACCAACCAAAGTGCTCCTGGAGCATTTTTTAGGCGAGCACGATTGGTGCTATGGGGAAAAGGATCTTAGGTACGGCAAAACGTACAGGATTACGTTGCTGGGAGTCCAGGGACCAACTGTCTTGATGGGTAATGATGGGCACCTCTTCCTGGTCAACATGACAATGGAGTCCCTTGGCGGTGTCATCTCAGTTTGCTGTGTTGAGCCTCACATTAGTGCATCCAGGTTCAAGTGCAGGCTGGCATTATTGTGCGGTGAACAAAGCTACTCCCAGACTACGGAGTTCTTAACGACTAGCACTAATCTGCGTGACGGGTTTCCTAAAGATTGCTTCCCGTTGCTTGTGCCAAAGGTGTTTGCTTGGAGACACCGGTACAAACCCCACAGCCACGGTGTGTGTGACCCTCAAGCCACAGTAAGCACCATGTGAAGTGATGACGCGCCTGTGTACATACCGCTCCCGTGTAGGGTTGGGTTTTACAAGTAACTAGTTCTTTTGAGTTGCTAGTTGTCAGCTTTTGGAGGAGGCACTAGTGTTCTTTTGGCATGTCTCGGTCATCGATTGGCATGCACTGTTTGTACTCTTGGCAATGTTTTGCTTCAAATCGCCGAAGTGAACGACGAAGCTACATTTCGGAAGCAAACATGTATGCCATGCGTGTCGAAATTAACTTCAGTCAAGCAGGCTATGTTTTGCTTGGCTAGTATTTGAACTTTTATTGAACCATATTTTATGTACGACTAGAAAATTGCCCGTGCGTTGCTACGGGAGGAAAGGTCACCGCACTCCCTGACCCAATAAGCATGACCTAAAACACAATGGCCTGCATCAATTATTTTCAACATGAACAAGAATTGTGCTTTCACTTGGATCATCTTTGTGGAACAGCTAAGATATAAATGCATTGTTGGGTTGCAGGTTAAGTTAATGATATGCAGCTCTCATAGAGATGAAAAAAAGAACTCAAGCATAAGAGAAAAAAAAATACAAAAACATTGAAAACATCAAAATATAATTTCTTTTGTCGATGCAAGATGTTATTCCTGATAGATCCTCTGGATCGCTAGGCTAGATGATATCCGGCAAACCTACCTTCTCTCTGTGTCGATGATCCCGCCGAGGTGGCCATGGTCGATGGCGACGACGGTGATAACAGAGAGTGGATGGCGGCGGTGGTGGAGCTTCCCGTCGTATCGCGCTAACCCTAGATCGGTAGGGATATAGGTGGGTTCTGGACGCACGGTCAAACTCATCACCAGTGCGGCTGACTCCCCCACCCCTTTATATAGCGCGGCGACAAGGGCCCACCAACTATAGTTTGGTTGGGCGCCCCCGATCAGGGCGCGGGTCAAGGGCCCGTCGAGCCATTGGGCTCGATCGGCAGGAGATCAACCTAACATTCTCCCCCTTGATCTCAACTTTACTTTTAACCTTATACTTTCTAGTTTATTTGTTTCATTACATATTGGTACATAGAGCATGTTTCATCATCACAGCTTAATTGCCGATAAAATCATACATCTACAACATAAGTTTTTGTTCAGAAACAAATTATGTTCCTTTTGGGCATATCCAGGAATCATAAGGCTTTCCCTTTAACCCATGCCGGCTAAGTGTTCCTTGAACACATTAGGTGGTAAGCCTTTCATTAGCGGATCCGCAAGCATATCCTTTGTCCTTATATGCTCGAGACTTATAGTTTGATCCTTGATTTTATCTTTCATAACATAATACCTTATCTCTATTGTTTTGGCAGCATTACTCGACTTGTTGTTGTGAGCGTAAAATACTGCGGGTTGGTTGTCGCAGTACATCTTTAGTGGTTTGTGAATACAATCTACCACTTTCAAGTCAGGTATAAATTTCTTTAGCCATACCGTCTGCCCCGTGGTCTCGAAGCATGCTATGAATTCTGCATACATCGTAGATGATGCAACTATCGACTGTTTGGAGCTTTTCTACGAAATAGCTCCCACAGCGAGAGTGAATACGTATCCTGACGTGGATTTTCTATCATCTCTGTCCCCCGCAAAATCTGCATCAGAATACCCTTTTATCTCTAGGGAATCACACCTCCTGTATGTTAGCATGTAGTCCTTCATGCCTTGCGCATAACGCAATGCTTTCTTTATCATCTTCTAGTGCTCTATGCCTGGATTCTCATGATATCTACCGAGTACCCCGGTGATAAAGGCTAAGTCAGGACGAGTGCACATTTGTGCATACTGTAAGCTGCCAACTGCCGAAGCATATGGTACTACTTTCAGTTGATCGATCTCATACTGGTTCTTGGGACATTGGAATTTCCCAAAACTATCGCCCTTAACTATAGGAGCAGGTGTGACTTTACTCACATGCATATTATACTTTTTAAGAACCTTTTCTAAATATGCTTTCTGCGATAGTCCTAAGACTCCATTGTTTATATCTCGGTGAATTTCTATGCCCACAACATATGATCCTTCACCAAGATCTGTTATGTCAAAATTCAAGGATAAGAACTTCTTTGTTTCTTGTACTAGACTAACATCACTGCTAGCAAGATCAGGAAAATATATTTCCCATTTTTAAACTTTGCATAAATGCAGTTATCCTCAATATTTTCTTTAAATCTAAAACTTTTAATCGTTTGATTAAACTTTAAATACCACTGCCTAGAGGCTTGCTTTAATCCATAAATGGATTTCTTCAGGCGGCATCCCATATTCTCCTTGCCTTCCATGATAAAACCCTTGGGTTGTTTCATGTAGACATTTTCTTTTAAATCACCATTCAGAAATGTTGTATTAACATCCATTTGATGTAACTCTAAATCAAAATGTGCAACTAATGCCATTATGATTATGAAGGAATCCTTACGTGAGACTGGGGAAAAAGTCTCATTGTAGTATATTCCTTCTTTTTGAGTAACTCTTTTTGCCACGAGTCGTGCCTTATACTTTTCTACATTCCCGTTAGAGTCATACTTAATTTTGTAGACCCATTTACAGCCTACTGTTTTGGCTCCTTTAGGAATTTCCTCTAAGTCCCAAACATCTTTGGAACTTATCAATTTCATCTCGTCTTCCATTGCCTTCATCCACTTTGATGAATGAGGACTTCTCATGGCTTCTTCATAGGAGGTGGGATCTTTTTTCATATGAACCATTTTTGTGTTATAAACTTTAAAGTCAATAGAAATAGCTGACTTTCTTGGTCTTGTAGACCTTCTAAGGGCCTCAGTTTCTGGCACATTATGTGCCTCAACTTCTGGCACTTATTATAAAATTTGCTGCTGCACCTCCCTTTCATGATCAACAACGGGTTCAGTCGGCTCCTGAAGGACAGATTCCGGGTCTACTCCCATAGTTGTCATGAGCGGGGTTGCAACTGGTAGTGAGAAAAATGGCTCCTGAATTATCGGATTAGGTGCATGCACCCTCTTCTCTTCAAGATCAATTTTCCGCCGCTGCAGAAGCCTACTTCCTGCTGCTCAGCTCACAGAGTGACAACAAGGTGAGGCTCATTATCTTGGAGCCCCTGCGCGAGCTGTGCACCTCACACCGTCAAATCATGGTCCCTTTTGTCATGGACATCCTGCACCCGCTTGCCAGCGCTGATGCTGATTTGGATGTCAGAAGCAAGGTTCTGGATTTGGTGCTTGGTTTGCCCACCGCGCAGAATGTGGAGAGCGTCGTTTTATACCTGAAGAAGGAGGTTTTTGAGACATGTGGGGACGATCCATGCTTGTGCCGTAGAGTACCCAAGTGTGGCTGGATTGGTGATGCACATCCTCTTGGATTTCCTTGTGTATGGTAGTGACATTGCTTCAACTTCGGATGTCATTATGTTTGTGCGTCATGGGGACTGACCCTTTGCTGCATGTGTCCGCGATAGTGAGGCTGATCGATCGCTATCTGAGGTCCGGACAGCCATTTGTACCATTATGCCGACACTTGGAGATTAGCCCTTCAATAATGTCTCTCCAAAAAGCGATGAATCTATTTTTGATTGCGCTCCTACTGGTGGGCCAAAAAAAATAACGACAATGAAGGCCGCGCCGCGCTAAAAGTCTAAAGTTGAGCGCACGCTCTATTACACTGGTAGAAAAAGAGGCTTCCGTCCAGCCCCATTAGTCGCGAAACTGTAGGAACCGCGACTAATGAAGTCTTTAGTCGCGGTTCGGCAAACGAACCGCGACCAAAGGCCTGGGCCCAGGGCGCTCGGTGGCCAGCTGGTGCACGTGAGGGGCTTTAGTCGCGGTTGGCCAGGCCAACCGCGACTAAAGGTGCCCAAAGGCCTTTAGTCGCGGTTGGCCAGGCCAACCGCGACTAAAGCTCCTCCCCTATATATACCAGTTCAGCACGCTCACTTAGCCATTTGGTGCCACTTCTCTTCACAAGCTTCACAAGGGGGTGTAGGTTTGCTTTTGGTTTCTCTTATGCACACAAGGTGTTTGATGAAATGCCCCAAGAGGGTGAAACAAACATGATATGAAGTGTTGGAGCCACACTTGAGGTTCCTCATTTATTTTTTCCTCCTCGATCGCGGTTAGCAACTTGAACCTTTCATGCATGTGTGTCATTGATAAAATATGCATGTGTGTTGTTCATTGTTTAATTTCTATTGTTTATAGCTAGTTAGTTTAACAAATGCATGATGGTTAATTATATATTTTATATTATAATAATACAGATGAATCGGCAATGGATGTACGGTAACCGACTCTCCCGCGAGTTCACTACGGGTTTGAAAGATTTCCTCGTAGTGGCTAATGCGAACAAGCAAAAGGGTTTTGTTATCTGTCCATGTGTTGACTGTAAGAATCAGAAGGGTTACTCTTCCTCAAGAGAAGTTCACCTGCACCTGCTTCGGCACGGTTTCATGCCAAGCTATAATTGTTGGACCAAGCATGGAGAAAGAGGGGTTATAATGGAAGAAGATGAAGAAGGGGATGATTTCATCGATGAAAGCTATCTTGCTCATTTCGGTGATACTTTCATGGAGGATGCTGAAGGTGAAGGGGAAGGTGAAGGGGAAGGTGAAGGTGAAGAAGAGGCATGTGATGAGACCGTTGATGATCTTGGTCGGACCATTGCTGATGCACGGAGACGCTGCGAAACTGAAAAGGAGAGGGAGAATTTGGATCGCATGTTAGAGGATCACAGAAAGTCGTTGTACCCCGGATGCGATGATGGTCTGAAAAAGCTGGGCTGCACACTGGATTTGCTGAAATGGAAGGCACAGGCAGGTGTAGCTGACTCGGCATTTGAAAACTTGCTGAAAATGTTGAAGAATATGTTTCCAAAGAATAACGAGTTGCCCGCCAGTACGTACGAAGCAAAGAAGGTTGTCTGCCCTCTAGGTTTAGAGGTTCTGAAGATACATGCATGCATCAACGACTGCATCCTCTACCGCGGTGAATACGAGAATTTGAATGAATGCCCGGT